ATCGCTCATTATTCAGATCTGCCGGACTGTGTTTTGATAGACTTTTTTTATGAGGGCATTAATCAACCGTTAAAATCCAAACTCATTCACGAGGGTCCACGTTCATCTTTAAGTTAGTGTATGGACTATGCTTTGTTGACGGTTGGTTCAGCGTTCACTGTGGGTATCGCGGAGGAGCACGGCTCCGCACTCACTTATGTAATAGCGGCCACACTAGAGCACGCTCACAAAATGGCGGCGACAGCAGAGCACGCTCACAAGATGGCGGACACAACAGCACCCAGTCATGTCACAGCTGCCCATTATGAGTCAAGTCTAGTCACAGTTCATTATCATGAGTCAAGTCAAGTCACCGCTGATCTTCCGGAGTCGAGTTTAGTCACAGTTGATCATTATCATGAGTCAAGTTACAGTTCATTATCATGAGTCAAGTCAAGTCACCGCTGATCTTCCGGAGTCAAGTCTAGTCACAGTTGATCTTCCGGAGTCAAGTCTAGTCACAGTTGATCTCCCTGAGTCGAGTCTAGTCACAGTTGATCATCACGTGTCAAATCAAGTCACAGGTTATTATCATGAGTCTAGTCAAGTCACCGCTGATAGTCATGAGTCAAATCGAGTCACAGTTTATTTTCCATGAGTCTGGTCAAGTCACAGCTGATATTCATGAGTCTAGTCAAGTCACAACCGATCGTCAGGAGTCTAGTCAAGTCTCAGCTGATCTTCATGAGGCCAGTCAAGTCACAGCTGATCTTCATGAGTCTAGTCAAATTACAGTTGATCTGCCAGAGCCTCGTCACGTCTCAGCTGTTCATCCAGAGTTATGTCACATCACAGCTGATCATCCAGAATCACGTCGCCTCCCAGCCGATCATCCAGAGTCATGTCACGTCCTGTCTGTTACACCCAGAGTAGAGTATCAAGGTCAGTTCTTCAGTATCCCAGACTGGCTTCCAGCATGGAGGACCCACCGCTGGTGTCGGCACGTGCAGCTGGCATCCCTAAACCAGTGCTCTCAAACCCTTCTATTTATGAACTCATTCCCCTGTCTGCAGCACTTCCCCCAAGATGGCGACACTTGCCTCAGTTCCTTTGCGTGGTGGTGGCGCCCAGCAACTCACTTTCTGCTCCGGCCAAGGAGGCCGTCCATGAACTCTCTGCTCGTCCTGTTCCGGCCAAGGAGGCAATCTATGAACTCTCTGCTCGTCCTGTTCTGGCCAAGGAGGCCGCTTATGAACTCTGTCTATCTTGTCACGGCAAAGGAGACTGTTTGCAAACTCCCTGTTCGTCCTGTCACAGCTATAGAGGCCATTTGC